AAAACCGGCAGGAATTAAGTTTAATACCTAATAATATGAATATTATTAATATTTTAATTATGTGTTTAAATATTTTTAATTTAATATTAATATTTCTTATCTGAATTTCTAAAACTTGTACTATATACTTGCAGATCTTAAATTGTAATTATACGTTACTCTACAATGTTACCTCTTTCTACATCATATTTCTGCAACCAAAATACGACTTTTTTACGTTATTTACTTTACTAAGCAACTGTAGCTGCATAAACGATGTTTTCTTAGGACAGCCGAAAATTTTGTCGCAGCATTCTTGTTAAGGTAACGCAATAAAATATATAATAATTAGTAGATAAATCATTAAGTTGAATATTTCTAATCTTTTACTTCGTTTATACTTTGTTTTAAAATTTGTCTTATTTATTACTTATTTACTAATATATATTTTTTTACCACATATTCCTCAATAGAAACATTTATACAATCAATAAAGATGTGATTTTAATTTTAAATTTATTTATTTATTTACGATTAATCAGACAATTTTATATTTTTACAAGTTACCTAAAAATTTACCTTCTAATAACCATTACCAACTTATTCAAAATTTCAGATTTCCTTCAATAACAATTCCAATTTTTTTCTAAAAGAATAATTATATGAGATTAACATTAGTCCTGATCAATTTAAAGTTCAATCGTCTCTAAAAGTATTTCATGATAACTGCAGGTTTATTAATCTTTATTGACATGTATATTCCGAACGAGGTTAAATTACTTTTAAATTACTTTTGGAATGCTTCCCTGAAAAAAATAAAAATTAGAACGTAAATCGAATATAATGGAAAAACAGAAGCCGTAAACGAAATTTCTAGGAGGCGAAAATTGAAACATCAAAATGTAAAAGAAGCGTAAATGCTTCTTTTACATTTCAATTTTCAATTTTTCAATTTTCAATTTTCAATTTTTCATGTTTCAATTTTCACCTTTTAGAAGTTTCGTTTACGCTTCTATTACTCTCCCATTACATCCGATTTTTATTTTTTTCATGATTCTAACATAAACAAAACATCATAACAGTTCATCAAATACATAGAAAAAAGTATAAATATCCAGAACAAATAATTAATTACATTAGGAACCAATCCATCTCCATAATTCAAAAAATGTTTCATATATTTTTCCCTTTGTTTATCTCTCTCTTGTTTCATTCCCTTCAGTTCCTCTTTGACACACTTTGCGGAGCTCATACGGCTTGTCTCTCGACTTTTAGCAACGATTTCTATGTTTTAACCCACCAACGTTGCTTTCTACATGTTTTGATCCTTGAATCATGCGTATTATATTGGGAAGCACTGTATGCAATGGAGACGATCCTAGAATTATCGGACAAAGGCAGAGAGCGAAATATTATCACATCTCCAGTCACATGTATGGCCAGGTCAGGTTAGGTTGACGCCCCGTCGTGCAGTGCGGCGATGATGCTGTTAAGTCTGATCTACAATTGCGTGAACGTTGTTGTAAGTGGTCGTAGTTGTAACAATTCGTCAATTACAGTCGGATATTCTCCTCGTATTCAAGTGTGATTGGTTAATTCTTACAACCACAACTACGTTTGCGCAATTGTAGATCAGACTTTACTGTCACCGCAACGCGGAGATGGCGCGTTTAGGTTAGGGTTATTGTCAAGCACATCAACGGACCGATATGCCACGTCTTTGATACGACGTGTAGCGAGGTTGGAGAACGGCAGGGCGATCATGACCATGTCATATCTGCGTGACTGGCGACAGGCGTTGCGCGTCCCCCACGTCTACCGGGTGGCGAACAGCACGTTTCGCATCCAGGGTCCGTTCGTGGCGGTGATTCTTCTGGTTCTGAGCGTGCCAACGTTCTTCCTCGTGTATCCACTGCTGCATGGCTTCATATGCTCGCCGCCGAGCCAGACCCTGGCACAATGTCGTTACTACAAGTACAACCGAACGTACCCTACCTCGACGCCCATCAAAACCTCCAAGGGCATTACCTACAGGATAGCGATAGTGAGCGACCTCGATCACGACTCCAAGCTCGTGGACAAGAAAGACACGTGGCACAGTCTTATGAGGACCGGCAGTCTCTATTGGAATCCCAACAACAATTTTCTATCTGTTATATGGGATGACAAAACTGTCGTACTGACCTCGTCGTTGTCTATGAAAGGACGCGGAATGGAGCTGTCGGAGTTAGTGACTTTTGACGGCCGTCTACTGTCCTTCGATGATCGTACCGGAATGATATATTTCATCGAAGGCGATCAAGCCTATCCTTGGGTTATTTTGATGGATGGCAATGGTAAAAATCACAAAGGTAGGTTGCTTAGTATATATAAATTATTATTGAGTTTATTTCATATAAAGTATCCAAGTGCAGTGATATAACAACTTTTGCTTGTTTCTGTTAGTATAAATTAACTTTAATCTTGGTTCAACTTACTCTTCATCTTTTTCTAATTCTTAGAAAAATATAGTTAAAGAGTTAAGTGAATCAAGGTTAAAATTAAACTGTATTGGTAGAAATGTATATTTGACAATGAAATAATACATGTATGTTCTATTAAATAACGTAATAGTGTCATTATTAGGCATTTAATTGTTTAAAATATTCATATATTTAACTTTAATTTCATTAATCTAGTGTAATGCAAAGTGACTGAATTCGTTATACGATTTGATACTATCACTGTTTCTGGAAATTGCAAGACTCATAACATTAAACATTATCATAAATTAACAGTAACATGACATTAATATTATAATTTTCATCAACAATATAAATGTAATATAACATTGTAACAATTATATTGTTGAGTAAAAAATTATAACATTGATGTAATGTTACTTTATTGAGGATGTTTTTCTTACTAAACTTTTATTTATATGTAGGCTTTAAATCCGAGTGGGCAACTATCAAAGATGAACAATTATATATTGGTAGCATGGGAAAGGAATGGACCACACCGTCCGGTGAATTTGAACATAATAATCCATTATGGATTAAAGTAGTGTCACCACGTGGCGAAACGCATTCCCTCAATTGGATTTCTTACTACAAACGATTAAGGCAAGCGATTAACATCGAATATCCAGGTATGCTGATACTTATAATTTGTGAATGCATGAATTAATTTATCATACATATATTTTGTGTAGGTTATATGATACATGAATCTGGAACTTGGAGTGATATACATAAGAGCTGGTTCTTCTTGCCTAGAAGATGTTCCCATGAACGTTACAATGAAACACGGGATGAAACAATGAGCTGCAATGTCATGTTGACTGCAGATGAAAACTTTGTTGACATTAAAGTGCGTTTTTAATTACGTCAAATATTAGTATTTTCATAAATAGTAATAATTATATGAAATTCATTATAGGTTACTTATATCGGGGATCTAATTCCAATCAGAGGTTTTTCGAGTTTCAAGTTTCTTCCTGGCTCGCAAGATTCTGTCATAATAGCTTTAAAGACTGAGGAATATCAAGGACGGACCGCTACATATATCATGGCCTTTACGATAAAAGGAACGATAATAATGCCCGAAAGTAAAATAATGGATAAAAAATTTGAAGGACTGGAATTTATATGACCCTTAGGGGTAGTTGTTAATTATTTAATGAAAATTGTAAATAAATGTACAGAATACATAGTCTTAAGTTTCTACGAGATAAAATTACTAAAAAGTTAAAATTGTTCTTTTGAATGACCATTACTGCTACATTTGGAACTTCAGAGTACAAATTTTTCTTGACATTAAATGCCGGATAACAATTGTAAATACATGTATATGCACGACTCTACGTACTGATATTATATAATTCTATTGTTTCGTATATAAATTTGCGATTGTGTTAAAAAATACGGGAATATATGAGATACATTACTTATATTATGTGTTTTTATTGTGTCATGTTGAAATAATGCTTTGATATTTAGAAAATTATAATTCAAGCAAATATTAGAAATCGTGTGAAAAGATCCTGATGTCTCAAATTTTTTATGTTTTCAAATTTTTTTCTTTCTCTTGTTTTTCTCATTGTGCTTACCGCGCGCGCTCAGAGTTACAATATGCACTTCTATGCCAAAATCAATAATACAAGTATATCTCCAGTCTGGAGGTGGTGGCAGCAGCACTGCGTTTCTTCAGCAGAGTTTAGTCAACCCGATGCACGGCAAGGATACGGTTCGCGGCTCGAGAATGTGCCGGAATTCGCGTGCATTTGTTACACAATGTTCGTTCACAATTTTTCGAGAAGTGACACTACTCCGGTAGTATGTCAGTGTCGGATAATTATCGAAATTTTGTAAGAAACGGAAGCGGCATTGAGATTTTGCATCGTTAAATGATCTTTCCTGCAATCAGTATTTGCATTTTACATCCAGATAAAACTCGCGCAATAAAACTCGGCTCTTATATCAAAGATCTCGAGGAACAGCATACTCAGCGAAAAATTCCAACTGTTCATTGCTCCGTATATAAATTAATTTTAAAGCAATTCAGAAAAGAGAAATGAATGCAATAGAGATTGAATGATCATATATGACGACAGATCTTACATAACAACTGCATAAGCGACTTGATTGCTTAATGAGATCAAACATCTGCATTTAATCGAGACAAGCGCATTGTATGCGAATGGTAGTTCCGTATGCGAATAGTAGCTCAATTTGCTGCGTTACGTCGAAAAATCAAAATTCCAGGATAAGCAAAATTAGATTTTAAATATGAAACGATTTTAAATATATTGTTAAAAATAGCTCTTCCTGCTTTGCGGTTTATCCTAGGAGAAAATGCGGTAAGGATGCATCGCACATCGATCAGTGATGACCGCAACGCGGTACTCTCGTGATGTAAATGTACATCAAGTCAGGATACATTCCGCGTACCATGTATATATATTTTTCCGATCGTTGAACTTGTCTTTTGAAACAGCAATAAATCAACAATCATCAGTATGTTCGCACGAATAAGTGACCTTGATGTAAACTATCGACTGACAATCCCGCATAGTGGAAAGATGCTTTCCATTTGACGAACACGTAGCCGACAGTCTCGAGAGAAAGATTTTATTCGAGTAGCTTTTTGAAGTTTTTTTCACGGGGGAATAATACAGCTATGGCGGAAGACGCGATGAAGGACTGGAAAATCGCCAGGACCGGCATCTCTCTGCTGTTGAATAACAAAACTGAGGAAGCTGAAGCTCTGTTTATCGAGCATCCTCATCTCTTCCATGTCAAAGCGGGCCGTTGTTTTGTTCTCTTCATGGTACGTAATCGCGTGATGAGCCATATCGATTCCACTGCATTCTGACGAAGTACATTTAACTCTCAAGGCCGCGAAAGAATGTTATTACTTTAATAGGTTTTAATATTAAACTGCGATGCATTACGTTCGTGCATCGAAAAATATAAAATCGATACCGATTGATACCACCTCGGACCAGACGAACCAAGTAAAATTGGTAATCTACAATTCCGTTACGGTATAATAAAATCATGAGACAATGTGCGCGCTTTGCTTCGATAATCTATAACAAATACATGATGCACATCTTGAATATTTTAACGCCTATAGTTGACAGTAATTTTTAATGCATTTGATGAATTGTGTAGAATGCCCTGATGACTTTCGAAGAGGACAAGTTTCAGCAAGCCACATTATTACTTAAAGATATGGAACGAGAATGTGCGGGCGATATAGGATGGCTGAAGTCTGTAAAAAGTAAAGTGTTTAGAGCCGAAGAAACCGATGTAAGTTTTCTCACAGCAGGATTATTAATATAATATTTTATTGTTTATACATGCTTGCCATCAAAGCATCCTCTTTCTATACTTATATATTAATTATTGCGACAAATAGTAAATATGATGCAAATCCGAAAGTAATCAGCGCGTAGTTATACATATAGGTACTTGAAGTAAATATATTTAAAATAAATTATATATAGAATTATTATTCCAACATCTAATTTTGTTCAGTTTTTACTAGTTGATTTATTCATATAATGATCATGTTCTAACACATTCTAACTTATTATAATTTTATTCAGTTCAGATTTTCTAATTTACTGGCATCAGATGCGAGAATGATTTCGGCGATTATCATTGATCGTAATAATAAAAACTAAAATTCACATGAAATACAATTCTTGTATCCAGTAAACATCAACTAACATTAACATATAATTGTTAGTTATCATTTCTTACTTAACGATATAACTCATTACATTACAATTATGTTAGTAATACTGTGTTAATGTTAATTAGTATTTGCTGGGTATAGTATCGAGACTTCAATTTAAATCAGCAGATAAGCTTTGAGTATCGATACAATGCATTGATGCAACGAAGTATCAGGCGTCATAATACAAAATAATCATGTTGTAAACTCAGAAGACGATTCGATCAATAAAAAAAAAAGAAATAATTATGAAATTAATTTCAGAAGGACTACGTGAATAAATTAGAGCGTCAAATAGTTTTAGCAGATACGCAGGTGTTCTCGGCTGTGTCATTGTTCCTTCAACAAGAGTTAACTGGATACGTTCGTGGCTGCTGGATGCTTCGCAAAGCTTGGCGTGTTTATCAACACGCGTACACTCAAATATCGCAATTATATCGTCGCACCTTCGGTACAAATCCGACTGGTGCGTTATACTGATAAGATTTATAAAATTAGAAAGATCAACAAATTACAATTTCGATCGTAGCACCTTTACGGAAATAAACAATATTTAATCATAACAGCTATAGTTTTATTAAATGAAATCTAAAGAATTAATAAAAGAATTCGATAAATAATTAATTCTTACACGATTGTTTTTTTTATCATTTATACGCATGTATAAATTAATGGATCGCTTTTAATGCAGACATATTCTATAAATATATTATTCAACGTTTTTACAGGATTCAGCCCATGTTGCATCAATCCGAGCAACGGATCATCTCTGCAGAGTCCGCAGAGCCCGGAATCTTCGGAATGGTCGATACCATCCTGCAACGGTTACACGAACAACGTGACACCCGTGTCGTCACCATCAGGTCTGCGAAGCTCTCTATCAATGTTCTTCTCGCTCACTGGCATCACGTCTGAACAGCAGACACCGTAATTGTTGTTTCTTCTTACTCAAAAATTCTCGTCTCCTTTCATCCTTTGCCCATCACCCTCTCCTCTCACAAGAGAAAGGCATTGCATGTTGGCACCTATCGACACATTTCACGGAATGCTCGATTGGATTTCCGATCACGTCAACATGATTTGTAATTTTGATAAACACACACTGCTTCGTACATTCGCTTCGCAAAAGTGAAATTTGTAGTTAGCTTTGATCACTTTGCTTTTCTTCCTCCCTCGCTCACACGATCTATGCTCGCGCAGGTCGTGTTTAAAAATAATAATTAAGCAGAATATATTTCGCAGCTTTCTGGAACCTTCGGAGGTGACACGTTTAATGTCGGCCGCAAGTTTCGGTTATGGTGTATACCAACTGTGCGTGAGTCTTTTGCCACCGTCTGTGCTGAAAGTGATCCACTTCTTCGGCTTCGAGGGTAACAGACAATCTGGTCTTGCCGCTCTTATGTATGCACGACTTGGCGAAGATATGCGCGCACCGCTCGCTACGTGAGTGTATTATGGATTTTGAATGTTTTCCCTTATGTGTATTTTTTTACAAACTAGAATAATTGAACACCTGCATAAAATATTTGGTACCTTAAAAGCATGGTATTTAGTACTGTCCTTTTCTTATATCGAATCCTTTTTTCTATAATTGGGCGTGTACTGATTCTCGTTTGTATTAACTCTGGCGGAAGAAAAATTTTTACGAAAAAGTACATAGAATACAGAAAAATTACATAGATTGAGATAAGATCTTATTAGAAATTCGTAATTTTTCGTGGATATTCGTAGTGGGACGTAAAGTGACATTCTTTGAGGGTGGAGGATTTCTACACCCTCAAAGAGAGAATTTTGTTTTAAAATTTACCCCGAAAATATGATAGTTGTGGTACAATACAATACTTTAAAGATTTTTATTATGCACTTCAGTAAAATTAATCAAACTTATTTTATACTTTAGTGTTGTTTTATTAATGAATGAGAGAGGTTTACATTAAAATTCTTGGAAATGCAATGTTGTCCCACGACTATCATATTTTCAGGGTAAACTCTAAGAAAAAATTCTCTCCCTGTAGGTTTTAATATGAAAAATTTAATATGAATATATATGAAAAACTAATAATTTCTAAGATTTTGTCTCAATCTATGTAGTTTTTCGTAAATCTTTTCCGCCAGAGAATCTCCGTGTTTGTTATTATATATTCTGAGAAATTTTCTATATAATACGGTTAGTCAATAAGCTACTATTTTGTCGTAGACTATCCCTACTTTGGTATCATACGATTGTACGTCCGTTCTTCGCGCTGGACGGGTCCAATGTAAAAGCGGGGGTTGCAGCAGCGAAGCAGTTGATAGCTGAATGTCATGCCGAATTTCAGAATTCTGCCCTTTTTCTCTTTTTCGCTGGCAGAATGGAACGTTTAGAGGTACTAATAAATTAAGTATTTGAACACCAAATTATTTTCTATAATTTCTTTTAATTTATATTATACAGTTAGTTCTCATTCATCTTTCAACCATATGTTTAAAATATATTATTAAGATTTTTATTTATAAACATCTAGTATTCATAGTCAATTCTTATATTTAAGACAATCTTATGGTATTATGAACCAATCAGAGCAACTTAATTTATATTAGCAATGCTAATATAAATTAAGTTGCTCTTAAATAATGCATGAAGATGCTAATTTAACATCTTTATGCATTATTTAAGACGGTCTTAAAATAAAATGAATTATGAATGCTGCACTTAAATGTGTTTAAATGTCTAGTTACTAGTAGAAAAAAATGTATTATGCTTACAATTAGTGTATCAGATTTGCTATCCAGTCGACACCAACTAAAAATAATATAACATCAATATGTATATGTTTAATTTCGCACTCAACGATATTGCGATATAAATGTAATATAGTAAACATGATGCATAATAGTTACATTGTTGAATGAGAAATTATAATATAGATGTTTTGTTACTTTCGTAAGTTAATAAGTTAAAATTTCATAAGTTGGTATCAACTGGGTGAATTCTCAGTTCTATATATTTCGACTTTAATATAATATTGTCCATTGTTGCATGATCTAATCGTTTCGCAGACAAATGTTGATGCAGCTCTAGAAGCGTTCGGTAAAGCTGTGGAAGTTGCAACTCAGAGGGAAGTCAAACTATTGTGTTTACACGAGGTAGCTTGGTGCCACGTGATACGCTTGAGCTACGATGAAGCGTATCGATCCTTATTGCAGTTGCAGCAGCAGTCGAGGTGGTCCAAGGGCTTCTACGCGTACTTAGCCATGGGTAACTTACCACCCCGATGCCTGAATAAATAGACTCAGATTTTTTTAATACTCATATTATACCATGTTACAGTTTGTTGTGGAGCGAACGGAAAGTTTGACGTTCTCCTGTCGCTGTACGGCAAGATACTTCCTTGGTTTCATGAGACGAAAAACGAATCGCAACTCGATGTTTTTATCATGCGCAGGCTGCCGAAAATCGTTGATAAGGAGACTGGGCATCCTTACACAGTTTTGTATTATAAGTTGCTCGTATACGAGTCATTGTATTTGTGGAACGCTCTTCCGTCTTGTTCCACTGAATCGCTGCGAGAAATATCTCATGGTAATAATAGATTAATTTTTAATCTTTCGTTTTGTATTTTAGAATGTGTAAACGATAAAATTGCAATTTGTTTAACATGGAAATCGAGAAATCGTCTGAAAAATTGAGACGCGATTTAAATACTTTATGATAACTTGTTAATCTTTGCACAAAAAATTATTATTATCTTACTTATTATGTAATTTTATTATCAGAATGCAAAGAAAATCATTCCGAGGAGCCAATGGTGGGTTTGACTGATCTTATTGAAGGCGCAGCGTGTCTTTATCTGGGGGACAACGAAGCGGCCATTAAAAGTTTCCGAAACTGTCTGAAATGTAGGTATCCGTCCAAGGACGAGTACGACCAGCATGTCAGCGCATTTGCGTTGTATGAATTAGGAAGTAGCCTTAATAACAATAACGTAAGTAATCGTGACATACACATCGTTTATATTTTCGTTTATATATTAATTTCTTACTTTATTGTCTCATATTTTAGAATCCTAATGAAGGCAAAAATTTCTTGTCAAAAGCGCAAACTCAGTACAAAGATTACGACTTTGAAACTCGACTCAATTTGCGTATACATGCCGCCCTTAAAAATATATAGTGACGTTAAGCGTACAATATTACATCACAATGTGAGATAGTTTTAGTATCGAAAAAAAAACATAATATTTGGATACTACAAAAGTAACATTTTGTATATGTTACTAACGTCCATGATATTGATATTTTATTTAACAATAAAGATCAACGAAGATCAGATTAAGGTGATCTGATCATCAAAGATATAACTTTGTGGATCTTTTTTTTTTATTTTATTAGTATTATACTTTATGTATAAGATATTGTTACAAATGTAATTCTATACATGTAATTTCGAAGATGAAAGATATTTTAAAGCAGACGAACATTCTGTTATATACAATTTATCATGTTATTTAAAGCGACAGATTTTATTTGCAAAAAATGTACTAAATTTTGCAGTAGATCATAGCAATTTATACGAAGTGAATTACAAGTATTACGAGTGTTCTTCTATCCCGTCTAAAAAAATGTGTGCAATATCTGCAAATGGAATTGGATCACACAATTTTTTGCATGATTATTCATATGCGAAAAAGCTGCTCGCTTGGAAAATCATGTATATGTACACGTTTTAGCATTGTCTACAATGTCTACATTCCCTGTACATATCTTGTACACATGCAAATAAATTACATGAAAATAGAATAACTTAAAATATATTTGAATATTTCATATATATATTAAAAGAAAATAAATCTTTTCTTTCAATCCAGAACTGTTTGATATTTATTTATCGTTTTCATGTTTTTTTCTTCCCTGTATATTTACATGTTCTGAATCGTGATTCATTTTTTTGCAATATATCGATTATGTAGATACAGGCGATGCCGGTTGTCAATGACTGTCCAAGTTTGAATACATACTAACAAAAATATTACGAATAAAAACACGCATGAAAAGCATTGCCAATATCTAACAAATTTATTTCATCAACTTAGCACGTTTTTTCTAAGAGCATTTTTTCTGAGAGACATAATTACGTGATGAAACGACGCTGATGAGCGCGCGGAACGCCTTCTGTTGCGTTAACGCAGGAAATTGTCCGAATGTCGCAGCAAGTTGCCATCAACGATCCTCTTGGTACCATAAACTCATTAAACCTTTCGCTTTCTGCGTCATTACGTCAATGCTTGGTACGAAATCTTTAATGAATTAACTTATGAAAAATTTCGATTGGTTTTCTTGATATCTTTATGCGATCGATTTATAAAATTTAGTTTAAATTTAATTTGTATATCAAGGAATTTCGTTATTTTTAGCGATGTCCGTATCCCATTTCTGCGATAAATATTCTGCAAGTGCGTCATTAAAAATGATTAAGGCAGACTTGGGAAACCTCAGATCTCATTTGGGTACTCTCTCGGTAATTACTTGTTATCACAATATTTTTCCAAAGTAAATATTTTTTATTTTAATATTGTTACACGATACAATTGATGCTTATTTTATTGTTTCTACAAAAATTGCATTAGTTAGAAGTGAAGAACGTAATGGAGATGCGCGATGAGCTGAAGAGCAAGTTGAAGGAAGTAGGCAGCGTGATTCCAAAAATGTCAGAAGCCATTCTCAATCTGAGAAATGAAGTGTCCGAGGGTAAGAAAGGTGCGATATATAAATGTTGACCGGATGCTGCACTTAGTGCAGTGGCATTTTTCTGACGTCAAATATCGACTAAATAAATAGAGCGATGTATTATGCTTATTTACATTGTAAGCGTTCGCAATGAAAGCCTTTCTCTTTGTATCATTTGCGCGCGTCTAATTTTATTTCATTATATTTTTATATTTTTATTTTTATTGTTTTATATTTATATCTTTTTATCTTTTTATTCGACAAATGATTTTGCAAGTTTCTAATATTTCTCATAAGTACGCGTTACAACAGAAATGAGTCTGCACACGAAGAATTTGCTGAAAGCTTTGTCACCGGAGACCGTTAGAAATATGGTGAAAAATGAATTACAGACATATGATGCCGACAAAACTGGAAGAACGGATTACGCTCTTGAAAGTTCAGGTTTTATCCAATAGTCTATTTTTACGTAGTTTTTTTTATACAGGAGACATGTTAATTAAAGGGCGCTCTGCTGCGACCTGCTAACAATTTCATGCGTAAGTAGGATACTTACATACAAAGGCACAAGTGCCCTTTTTATTTCTTTTTTTTTAATCTACTTGAAAATAACTTGTACTTTTTGTAACTTTTCCCAGAAACTATCATACAATTTTATTAGTTATAAAGATATGCAATACATTTTTTTTGCAATCGTAAAATTATCTTTTCCCCATAAATAGTTTCCTTGATCATTTCCATTAATAGATATTTCTTTGATCGTTTGGAATAAAAAAAGATTATAAAAGAGGGTATAATAATCTAGATAAAGTATAGAAGCCGTAATAATCAAAGAGAATTGATTTCTCTCTGACAATAATATCGTAAGAACGTCATTATAAGTTCATTTATAAGTGACAAATGAAGTGAAGTTGTGAATATTCTATGGTTATCATGACTTTATATTCTCTACCTAGGAATACATTTTTGGCGCATCATCACATAGTCCTTTCCACAGGCGGTGCGATTCTTTCGATACGAGATACCGAGTCATACTCAACTGGTGCACCTGTGCTCAATCTATTCGGCATACCGCTTTGTCAACAGCAGAACACACCCCGGGCTATGATACAGGTTACCTGACTATATTTAATATCGCTGACATTCTGATCCCAATGTATTTACCAGACCGGCGTTTTGCCGGGCGAATGCTGGGCCTTCAAGGGCAGCAGCGGCAGCGTGGTGATTCGATTACTCGGCCATGTGCACGTGTCCGGAGTTAGCCTTGAACACATCTCTTCATTGATATCCCCTACTGGGGAAACTGCTACGGCGCCAAAAGATTTTTCCGTTTGGGTGAGCTGATTATGCAACTATACATGTAATATTATATATAGTTTGTATTTTGCAATATCGTAAACAAATATATCTTATCAGTATTTATCGTTATATGTATAAACGTACAGGTATCATATTTAATATTTCAAACAGCTACCTGTCGCATATTATATGTATTGATTTTAGGGTTTGTCAGATCTGGATGATAAGAAGCCTTTCTCATTTGGCAGTTTTATATATGACAATACTGGTTCGCCGTTGCAATATTTTGAGATCCAGGTAGAACACAATAGGCTTTTATATAATTAACATTTATCTTTAGAGTTCTTAATTGTTAACTTTTGTATTCAATTACATGAGACAAAAAAATTATTTATAGAATCAAATAAAAAAAGCATATGATATAATCGAGGTGAAAATACATTCTAATAGTGGTAATCCAGAGTACACATGTATCTACAGAATACGGGTGCACGGAACACTTAGTGAAACGTATCAAGTACACAAAAATTATATTTTTCTTAAAATATTATCGTTTCCTTACTTCAAAAGCGATATAAATAAAAAAAGTTCTTTCTACAGAATAAGGAAAAAACTATTATTTAATGTAACAGAAAATTATTGAACAATCAAATAATATTGGTAAAAAAAAATATATTTTAGTACTATCAAATATCACCTTTGTTATTTTTATTTCACAACCCTTAAAAAAATTACTCTTAATTGTGACGATTTTAACGATTTTTAAAAGACCTCTTTCTTTATAGTTGTACGATTTTAACAATTTTTTATGGTGTTTAGTTAGCTCACTTTTAATGAAAATGATAAGGTAATGTTTATCTAACTCATTCATAGTAACAACTCGAAAATCATGTTTCCTAAATTGTTACTTTTGAAGTAAGAGAGTGGCAAAATTCAGTAAAGGACACATCAATAAAACGTAGTTCGATTAAATTTACAACGAATTTAATAATAATAATAACAATAAATTCTCATCGTAACTAACAGATTCTCGTTGATTGACCGGATGTCCCGAACCAGCACCAGTTGCGATTTGATACCAAAGAATATTACCCGTGGAATATCGATTAAACGCTGAATGTAAATCAGGACAGTGGGTGGTTGCTCAATAAAAACAATAGATTCAACGTAATCGTCGCACGATTTATTACATTTGTACATATTTAGTTTTTCCTTCGAACTCTCCGCTATATCGAATCTCTCCTCACACGTTCTCCGTCGCACACGTACCCCACATTTTTATCGTACTCTCCGGCTTCATGGTGGTGGAGCGAGGCCAAAGTTTCGCATCTCACCAGTCATCAAGCGCATACACGCAGGATATCAGGCAGACAGGAAAAGACTCTCCCTGGCGGTTCTGCACCGACCGATTACACACCTCATTATCGTAATTAAAATAGCATGTTATATATCTTGGGGGGGGGAGGGGGAGAGGGGAGGGCGAGGGCCAGCCGCGGCCCGATCTTGGTTCTCCGCTTCTCTTCATTACGTTTAGTTTTCCCATTTTTCATTAATTCGACGATTACGCACTGCCTTCTCTACGGGCGAAAAACAGATTCGAGAGGCACGCTGCGAATTTTGATACAACATTCCTCTTTCCATGTCATGCGTGTACATATACGCACGATCATAAAATTCTGTAACAACACTTAATTTTTTTTCTTCACCCTTTTGAACCGATGTTTCTATGTATCTTTTTTTTTTTTTTTATACAGTACGCAACTGCCGGACTATCGATACGTGTGCAGCTGATCGGCGAACTCGCGCACGACCGTAATCGGCGCGTCTAGAGTAACTATAATTCGGAGGTCAGTCGTCTAACGCTATCGAGCTATCGAGAGCCGGTCGTGGTGCCGAAGAAACGCGAGTACATGTACGTAAGCGCATGGATACGAGATTATCTATGTACTTTCCTTAAAATAAAGCCGGATCTAGACCAAGCAAACGAACTCGAATAAACAACTTGCTTCAAGTGCAAACTGTACTACCGTTGTTCATTCGCGTTCGTTCATACTTATTTGATTGATCTGGATTCAACTCAACATGATCTGATAGCAGTTTCGGAATCGCTCGTTGCTTTCTGTCTATTTTTGCTGTATTTATTTTGTGCCACGCTGTTTCCAATTGAGATTTACCACCAGAATGGCAAAGACAGTCACACGAATTACTATATATTCTTTTTAAATCTTACAAAGTTTGTGATCTTGTAAAAGTTTTAAGTCTTACTTTCTCTTTCACATTATGACACGAAGTATAACAGTAATTTCCAACATCTCGATCTGTGAAAGTCGATCTCTTTAGAAATAATTAAGTATAGAAAATGTAGTATGTATAATTCACAGCTTCGAGAGGCACGCTGCGAATTTCGATCACATGTGTTCAATCGTGCACTATAAAATATCATTGATAGTATTCGAGAAACGAGACATAATAGAGTTATATTATATTTTTTAACTATATATAATGTAATCTTTCTCATGTTGAGAAACTATTTTTCTAGAGAGCTCATTCTCAGCCATTCTGGTGTTAAGCGCAACTCTATGGAACCACTGTGCACCGGAGTGTTTCCACCAAAGATTCAATGATGAAGTTCGACTGTTCCGATTAGCATTGGACTAGGAATTCCACTTAAGCTCAACGCAAAAACGCGACTGGAGATTTTGTTAGGCTTTTTAAATGAAACGTAGTATCGACCATGCGATCGATCGGTCGACGATTACTACTAATTTTTTTTTTTTTTTTTCAAGCAATGCGACGCGCCCGGCACGCCTGAATATGATTTTAGCGACTACACCTTCGACATGACAAAGGGTGGTTGGAGTCGTCGGTCGCCCTTTTGCAGCTGAAAAGAAAAGAACGCGGGCACCACCACCGCACGAAGGTTCGTCAACGCTCGTAAAAGGCATAGAGTTATTTATTCTTACTTCTTTTTTTTTTGTTAGATTTACTTCGACAATCGTTAAATATATTACCGCACGCGGTAGTATCAAAATAAACCACACCAAGTGTAGAGTATAGAATATTCGTAGGTGTATGTATGTACAGTATAGAGTTCCTATTTATCTCTGTTTTGTCTCTCTATTTTTACCCCACGAAAGCCACTGAAACATTGGTTTTCGTTTTATTAAAAAGTCAGCTACCATCCTTAAATTGTTGCTGTTCCTTGCTGCTGCTGTTGTTGTTGCTGCTGCTGCTGCTGCTGCTGATGTTATGATTTCATTCTGATATTTGCTGTTACCGTTAGGAAATACACTACGATTAAAGTATATCACAGATGTCAACGAGAAGAACGCTCTAATGTGTGAAAAGAGTGAAGTGAAGTGAACGAAACGAAGATAAATCACGATTCTCGAACGCCGATTGTCCAATAATCGTCACAATTGATCGATCTTTGATTCTGGTTTAAAAAATTAATTGTGAAAATCAAAGTATACTTTCTATATTATTTCTGTACTCTCGTGCAAGACTAATAACAATTGTCATATCCTTTTTAAACTAGATAAAATTGTTATTTATATAAATCTGATTTTAGTAGATTATGGTTAAAATAGTTAAGACTATGGTTAAAAGACCAGGCACATGTATATATAATCGCAAAAAAATGACATCAGTCCAATTTTGCCGATTAATTATCATTCCCGTTATAATCGATCCAATTACAAGAACACAATCCACATCGATCGATTGTAGACATCTTTGATTTCCAATCGGCGAACCCCGCGTAATTTTCAAGAGTTAGAGAATAAGGAAAGGCGAGACAGTGTGGTCCAATTAATTGCAGTTTTGTCGCGTAGACTCGACATAAGATCTAGTTATAAACTACTAAAATTCTCTCTTTCTCTCTTTCTAATTTTTATCGACGCGGTCTACGTCGTTCTTCTTCCTAACAATTCCTACGAATCGACTTCCATTGACGTTTCGGAAACGGAACAACGAAATTAGTTCCGTTGGCAATAAGAGATTGTCATAGGTTTTCAAGTTATGTGATACGCGTACGTCGCGCGTTTTGTGTAGCTGTTTTGCGCTACACAGTAGATTTTCCTAATTATATCATGCCGTTCGCGCGATCGTATCTCGTTTACACGATGCGCAGAATATTCTTTTCGTACTCTTTCTCTCTCTCTCTCTCTCTCTCTCTCTTTCTCCCGGAAAGTTCAACCTCCCTCTAAATGCTCAACTTGTTCGTTTTGGCAATTTCACGGCGGCGAAGAGACTATAATATAACGACTATATTGTCATGCACTACAGTCTTTCTTAGAGCCCTTTCTTAAATCCCTCCCGCGATCTTCCACCATAATGTGTTTCCGCTGTGCAGTGTATACCATGCGTATAACATGTGTGTACTATGTTTCATCCCTTGGAAACATCTCGTACGTACAACTAGAGACTACATCGGTTCGTTCGCCCTGGATTAAGAGGGCGGATCCAACGATCCACCGGTGGAGGACGGTCTCTCGGGTATCTCCTTGCTTTCGTCCGTGTCGCCACTGCCTCTACCGTTTCTCATCGTCGTAGTAGAGGAGATGGTGGTCGAGACGTCCTGGATTTCGTCGTCGCGCAATCTGCCGCCGCGCCGTTGTCCGTTGCTGCTGCTGGCCGAGTCTGTGTCGTCCACGTATATTCTCACGTCGGATCCGATGGCGCCGCCCTCGCCGATGTGCACTCCATCGTCGTTGCCACTGCCGTTGCCGCTACCGTTGCAACTACCGTTGCTGATGCTACCAGCCGCGCCAGCACTCACGGCGACGCTGATGCTGGCGACGGCGCTGAGACTGCCGGCGACGCTCAGGCTACCGGTACCGGTACTCTCACTTGCGTTGCCGCACGGCGAAGGGATCTCGTCGGATCTTTCCTCGGTGGTGACATAAATATGGCTGTAACCCTCGCCGCGGATCATCGCGCTGTATTGATCGCTGGCGATGCTGGTGGTGGTGGACGCGCCAGCATCATGCGTTTTCAACTTGGACGGCCTCCTCTCGTTGATAACAGACTGCACATCAAGGTCTTCTTGGGGTGGCGTCGGCATCGTCGTTGTCGTCGGGCGTCTTCTCTCTTCTATCATCTTCTTCTTTGGTTCCTCCAATCGGGCTTTGCCACCGACATAGCCATTCGCGATGCTGGGCGTTCGCGTACTGCTAGTACCGGCGCTCGCAGTCGTCGTATCCGATGGTGTCGGTGATTGAGTGTCGCTCGATGTCCGGCGGCTCATTGTCGCCTTGGACGGGTAGATCTCGGCGGTTGGCATGAGGTAACGATCGCTGGTCAATTTCGGCGGGACGCTTAGGGTGCTGCTCGAGCCGGGGGATATGACCAATGAGGGGCTGGTCGGCGGCTTGCTCACGGTTAACAGAGATTTATTTTCACGCATTTCGCTAGTGGTCATCTGTAAAATTGATGTTGACTATATATATGAATGCAGATAAACATTGCACTCTAAAAAAATATTAGTATAGATTTAACACTATGCGGTATCTATATAATTCTTATTGTGTTGGTGTTATTAACATCAACATAATATGGATTTAACACCATAGGTTTTAAATCTATACTTATCGTGATGGTGTTGATATAAAAGAGTTATAAATCTGTATCATGTTAACGTTA